AGAACTTGACCTTTGACCTGTTTTCACGTTTCTGAGCCCTGGCAAGATACCTTTTCACAATGCTTTACCTTTACAAGGCCCGTGCTGCTCTATTTTTACAAGGCCTGAGGCCTATAACGGTAAAGGCCCTTTTAGAACGACTGGATGATGATGCCGTTCCTAATACAAGTCCATCACAGAAGGTAAACCTGGCAAGAGAGTACAAACTGAGCCTTGCAGGGATGGCTCCATTCCTGTAGAAGTTCATCACAGCAGCTGTAGAATAGGACAAAATGTTCTTTGCAACATAGTCAAAATGATTCAATGGAAAAGATGGGCATCCAGCCTGGCTTCCGGCGCTGCGTAAGGGTACTCTACAATGACACACACGGCAGGGTACAGCTCAACGGATTTCTGTCTGAAGCCTACAAGATGACCAGATCGGTCCGGCAGGGGGATCCCCTCGTTGCCCCTCTCTAAGACTTCCTGTTCACAATGGAGGCAATAACTTCGTTTCTCAGAAAGATCCCTCCATCGATCGGCTTGTTGAGGACGGCACCGGAAGTACGGTCCAGCGCCTGCTCCCCACTCCGTTACTCTTCGCAGGCAACCTCACAGTCCTTATTAGAGCCTCAGACTCCTCCTTTCAAGCACTCACTAGGGCGATGCAGGCGTTCCAGCTGGCGGCAGAAATGTGTATCAATTGGGCCGAAACAGGGGCTGATGGATCACACATGAGGACATCCCTACCCCGGCTTCATCGCCCTCCAGGCTGCAGTCACAAAGAAGAGATGAGCCGCTGCAATACCTAGGTATACGTATGACGGACACGGGCCTGAATGAGGCTCAAGTGCTGGAAATCTACGCCAAGATGCTTATCAAAATGGAGCTTTCTTTTTTCTACCATCCCCCCCCAGCACCTCAATTTCCCCCTCCACCACTCCTCATCTCCCCCTCCCGCCCCACATTCTCCCCCCACAACCACACTATTGATTTCACCCCGGTCAGGTCGATCCAATCTTATATCCCGAATCGAACTTCTACCCAATCTCGGCACCAACCCGACCCTGATCCTGCCATCCCGTCCGCGTCCCCATCCCGACCATGATCTTACTTACCTGTTAGTAAGAACCATAACTCGCCATCTTGCGCTCCCACCCCAACCGACCTCACCACGCCTCTACCCCAGACCAACAAATCTTCCCCCCATTACATCTCATTGTTCCCTCCTCCCTGCGACTCCCCCACACAGTCATAAATCCAACTTCCCCTGATCCTTTCGTCCACATCCTGAAACCAACATCAACCCAATTTCGGCCTCATCTACGACCCCATCCCCCCAACGACCCCCCATGTCCCTTTTTCGTCCCGTGAGCCCATTAGCCTCTCCCCCCCCCTACGAGATCCTCCCGTGCCGGCCTCGATCGCGAGCCGTAATCAAAACACTATCTTTCCCCCAACTACGATCTGATCCAAGCCCAGATCAAACTCACTACCACTCCATCCCAGATCCAACACAACCCACCACGCGCCCACGCCTCAACCGACTTCAACCGACTCCTTCCACCCCCTACATTGATATCACCCCCCCCACCCCCCACCCCCCGTCTGCTCGCCCCCCCATAATCCTACTCTCTTTCTCCCCCTACCAAGCCATCCATAACTACTTTCCCGATCCCAACACAACCACGATCTCACCCCAAGCGTCACAAGATCTCATCCTAACTCGACATTACCTCCCCTCCCACAGCGCATCCGGCTCAACCGTCTTCACCCCGCCACTTCCCCTAGCTCCCCAAATCTTCCCTTCACCACTTCTTACCCCTCCCTCCCTCCGTCTACTCCCCCCCCTACAAACAAGCTATCAAGGCCCCCCCCCACTATACTCGACCTTTCCCCGAGCCAGATCCCAACCATTCGCGATTCCAGCCCAACTCCGACCCCGCCACGCCCCACTCCTTGTCCCCATCCCGACCTCGACCGCGTCTCCCCCTCTCCACCGTCCTGACCCTCCCCCCCCGATGCTGCTTCCGCCCCGACGCTGATCATTCCTGTACCGCCAATCAACTCCAGCTTACCGGTGATCGTCCTCCTACCCAACCAGACCTCCAC